TTTTTACTCGCTTATACGCAATACCTTTAATTTTTGACCCTAAAGTTATCCTCATACGACAGGCGGGGTCAAAAGTTAAAAGACAACCCAATAAAATGTTATATTTTTGCAATTTTTTAAAGGCCGGGTATCTTCTAAAAAACTTTCTTAATTTGTTGTGACCATATTAGAGCCCGTTTGGATTGGTTGACCAGCTTTTAAGCACTTTTTAACTTTTGGAAGTGTTTGACAACCAAAAAAATAGCTTTAAAACTGCTTTAAAAAGGGAGAAATTCAAAAATAGCCAGATTTACAACTGGTCGTTCAAAAATAGCCCAGTTTCAAAAGAAATCGAAATTTAGCCACTTTTCATGTAAAAATAAATCTGAGCGAAAACACTGTTCAAAACCCGAAAAATACGCCAGTATATTATACTGGAGCTCCAGCATAACTATGCTTGAACTCCAGCATATTATACTAGAGTTCCAGGATAAGTATGCTGGAACTCCAGCATAATTACACTAAAACTCCAGCATAATATACTGAAGTTCCAGCAAGTATAATTGTCCAGTATAATATACTGGAGTTTGGAGCACCGGTGCTCCAGTCTCCAATATATTATACTGGAGTCAGCAAAGTATACCGGTCCAGCATAATATGCTGGAGTTCATACACAGGTGCACCAGACTCCAGTATATTATGCTGGACCGGTCTCTGTTGCAGCAAAATAGTGGCTATTTTTCATTGACTTTATAAACGATAGCTATTTTTGAATGACTAGTCCGAAACTGGCTATACCGTGCTATTTTTACTAAAAAAGGCCAAAAGCAACAAGTTGGCTAACCCCAACTTTTTCGAAAGGAATTTTTACATTCCTATGCCATATAATAAACTATTACCCTTCATGCTTAACTTTTAATATAATTACCTTCTATATACCTAAGTACCATTTATGTACCATTTTAGGATTTTAATGGTATTAATTAGTCTCCTAATTTTACTCAACCGTATATTCCCACTCCCCCAAGTTTCTCTCTCCAAATCCCACCACCTCACTCACGTATCAAACCACACCCATGATTTCCTCTTCAATCACCCACGATTTTCTCTTCTAAAACCAAAGAAAATCTGTAAACTCTCCACCATTGACAACCATTAAAAAGCTTTGAAGCTTTGAATTCGAATTTGGGTTTTCAAAAGACATTGTTTGTTTGGATTGGATGTTGTTGCAAAGAATTGAGAATTCTCTCTATGTCTCTCTCTATCTCTCAATCCCAAATTTCAGTAATATAAGAGGAAAGGAAACGAGAGCAGCAATTCCACCATTGACAGTCATTAAAAAGCTTTGAAGCTTTGAATTCGAATTTGGATTTTCAAAAATCATTATTTGTTTGGATTGGGTGTTGTTGCAAATAATTGGGAATATGGTTTGGAGTTTATATCTCAATTTTGAGAGGTTTTGGTGAAGATTAGACTTAGTTTTGGTTGAATTTCAGATTGAAACTCGAAGAAGAATAAGAAGAAGACATGACATACATTATATTGCAGAAATTGTAGAAAAAATGTATCTGTTGTTTATTTGTTTTTCTTTTATTCATTTAACTATTGTATGAAAGTTGAAGAACATTGTATAAAAATTGTATTTAAGTGGTATTATATTGTAGTTGTATATAAATTAATAGAAATAATGTACGAAAATTGTAGATAATTTGCATAATATATAATTAGTTGTATGAAATTTATTTGTGTAAATTAGATACAAAATATACAAAAGACATATTGTATAGAATTTGTATGTAAATTTTATGTTATTGTAGTTGTATTTAACTGGGTGGAAATAATGTGTAAAAATTATAGATAAGTTGTGTTCGTCTATAACAGGAGATGTTGGCATATCAAGTAACTTTAGTGTTCCAGATGAACATGCACGAAAATAAAAATAAATTCTGTTATGAACAGTTTGTAGAAATTTTGTAGATAATTTATAGAAATATTGAAATTCTGTATTTTCATATTAATTTTTCAAATGATATGTACTTTTATTGTAGAATAAATGTAGAAATTTTGTAGATATTGTAAAAATTCATACTGATATATATATATATATATATANCTCAAAGAAGAAGAAGAAGAAGACATGACATACATTATATTACAGAAATTGTGGAAATATTATAGAAAAATTGTATTATATTGTTTATTTATTTTTCTTTTATTCATTTAACTATTGTATGAAAGTTGAACAACATTGTATAAAAATTGTATTTAAGTGATGTTATATTGTAGTTGTATATAACTTAGGAGAAATAATGTACAAAAATTGTAGATAATTTATAGATAAGTTGTATAATATATAATTAGTTGTATGAAATTTATTTTTACTATGTATAAATCAGATACAAAATATACAAAAGACATATTGTATAAATTTTGTATGTAAGTTTTATGTTATTGTAGTAATGTGTGAAAGTTGTAGAAAATTGTAGATAAGTTGTATTCCTCTATAACGGGAGATGTTGGCATATCAAGTAACTTTAGTGTTCCAGGAGAACATGCATGAAAATAAAGATAAATTCTGTTATGAATAATTTGTAGAAATTTTGTAGATAATTTGTAGAAACATTGAAATTCTGTATTTTCATATAAATATTTCAAATGATATGTAGTTTTATTGTAGAATAAATGTAGAAATTTTGTCGATATTGTAAACATCCATACTGATATATATATATATGTAGTCTGACATGTAGTTTATTTGTAGATAAAATGTAGATAAAGTGTAGGACATTTATATACAACCAGAATTTGATATAAAATGTAACAACACAAACATGCAACTGTGTTCTCATTGGTGATACTCAATTCCATATTGAAATTGTGATCAGTTATACATAGCGGATATGATCCTAAGTTTTTATTTTTTCAACTTTCATACAATAGTTAAATGAATACAAGAAAAATAAATAAATAACAGAATACAAATTTTCTACAATTTCTGCAATATAATGTATGTCATGTCTTATTCTTCTTCTTCTAGTTTCAATATTAAATTCAGCCAAAACCAAGGTTAAGCTTCACCAAAACCCCTCAAAATTGAGATATAAATTTCAAACCATATTCCCAAATGTTTGCAACAACACCTAATCCAAACAAATAATAATTTTTAAAAACCCAAATTCAAAATTCTCTAAATCTCCCATAGCTATCTCAATTCCTATTCAGTTGTAGCATAATTGAGATTTTGAACATAATTGTGTTTGTTGCAGAAGAATTGTAGAAGATTTAATCATTTTTGATTTGTGAAATAAAAAAAAATGATGAAACATGAAGTGGGATCGTCCCATTTTTGTTTTCTAAGAAGTTAACTTGTCAAAGAAAATTAAGTTGTTGAAAAAAAAAATTAGAACTCAACTAATATGTGAGCTGAGATAATGAGAGAAACTTAGCACCTTAGAGATTCATGTGTCATTGAACACGTTTTTGGAAATTTGCAATGTTTAGTTTATGCAGAAACTCTGAAACTTTTCAAATTACACCATGAAAATCGAAATCTCGGTAGCATTTGTGGTTTTGCGACTCTAGGTTTCTTGATAATTGATTTTGCTTGAAGCTTTCAAACTCCATGAAGAAAGAAAAATAAGGAAGCATATAGCTACAATGATTCCTTATTTAATGAATTGTTTATATTTTGTAAAAATATTATTAGCATGACGGATAATATACAAACTATGAACATATTTGGTAATATAGTTTCCTATACGAAAGTTTCCCTTTTTGAAATTGGCTTAAAAGCTATTTTAGTTTGACCAAAGATTTTAATTTTTTATCCCTTATATTTTTTTTATTTTCGAAATTAGCTCCGAGTAAAAAACCCTAAAACATATGATTTCTCCTCTTTTCTCCATTCTTTCAACCACTCCTTTCTTTTTCCTCTTCTTTCATAACCTTCCCCAATTAAATTATTCACAACTAATAATTTAATCGCCTGCATTTTCTGTACGATTCTCATGACTCTCATTAGGACGCCTACCAGAAGATGTAACGAAATGGGAGCGAGTGGTACGCCTACCACGAGATGTGAAAAGAAAGTGAAATCTGCCTTTGTTTTCCTTATTCTTGTTAGTGGTTGGATTTTGATTCCTTTATAGTTCTTGTGATAATCTGTTCTTACCTGTTATTCCCCGAAGCATGTTCCCCGCTCCCATCTTTACTTGTTTATTTCTGCTTTACTTTCCGCTATATATCATATAACTGCACAGGTTTATTTTGTAGTCTGGTCCTAGCCTCGTCACTACTTCGCCGAGGTAAGGCTAGGCACTTACCAACACATGCGGTCGGTTGTGCTGATACTACACTCTGCACTCTTTTGTGCAGACCCCAGTGTTATAGACTTCGGACCGCAGTGAGATTGCTGAATCTTGTTCATCAGGCGACCCCTGCAGGCGTTCGTAGGCCTTGGCGTCTCCTTCGATCTACCTTCCTGTTTCTTACATGTATTTCTAGAGACAGTGTTGTATTTAATTTTTTCAGACCTTTATTTGTAGTATTCTTAGACCGTCTGTGAAACTGTGACACCAGTTCTGGGTAGTTGAGACTCAAACAGTTGTATTATATATTCATGTTCAGATAGCTTATTGTTTATTTCTTCCGCTCGTATTAAATTTCGCTGTTTAAATGTTATTATTTCGAAATTATTAATCAATATAAAATGGGTAAAAAGGTAAATTGTGCAATTAATTGGCTTGCCTAGCTCGTACTAGTAGGCGCCATCACAACTCCCGAGGGTGGGAATCAGGGTCGTGACACCGTTTGGATTGGGTGACTAGCTTTTAAGCACTTATAAACTTTTGAAAGTTTTTGACAACAAAAAAATATAGCTTAAAAACTGCTTTAAAAAGTCAAAAGTAACAAGTTAGCTCACCCCAACTTTTTCCAAATTGACTTAAAAGCTATTTTGATTCGACCAATGATTTTACTTTCTTATACCTCATAATTTTTCTTATTTCCGAAATTTACTTACTAAAAAACCCCAAAACATAGGATTTCTCCTCTTTTCTCCATTATTTCAGCCACTCCTTTCTTCTTCCTCTCCTTTCTTCTTCCTCTTCCATAACCTTCCCCAATTAAATTATTCACAACTAATAATTTAATCGCGTGCGTTTTCTGTACGATTCTCATGACTCTCATTAGGACCCTTTGTTCATCTTCAATTTCTATTTGTTTACGTGAGATTCATTTAGCATATGTACGTCAAGAGGGATTTGCTAGGTGAATAGGTACAAATTCAAAATATCCCAATATATTTGGAATATCTAGAGGAAAATCTGTTTACTTCTCTCTTGTTGTAATCTAGTAGTGTTAAAAGATCAGCTTAGAACATATTACAGTGGATTAATTTGGAATTAAATATATTCTAGTAATCCGTTCATTTATAATGTTAACAACTTTACGCATATCTCTCTTTCTCTCTCTCTTATCTTTATTTATGAACGTCTCAGCTGATGTTTTTAATGGTTTTTGATTTATTATTGATAGTCTTTAGGTAAATTGGAGATATGGAAAATATAGTCAAAAAGTATCAGCAGAGATTCAGGAAAGTGAAGGAAGAAATGGACACGTGGAATGATCTTCAATCTCGATTGCTTTCTCAGTTCACTAATGCTTCTTCTATCATTCAGAGATTACAGGTAAGTTACCCAGCTCTTTGTTTTACTACGTTCAAATGGGCTTTTGAAATTCGCTTATTTTTGCCCTTTATAAGCTACCTTTTTTTGTGCAGGTTCTTCAAGATTCTAAGAATTATGGTGCCCTGAGATGTGTTGAAGGCATTGAAGAAGCTATTTTGCTTAAACAAATGGATTCTCTTCAAACTATCTTGCTTTCTATGAATCAAACTCTGTGCGTCTCTTTTTTTTTAATCTTTGTATTTCATGATTCTTAACTAGTTGGGGTCGGCTATATGAATCCTTTTAATTCGGGCTCATTTCATTCTACAACAACAACAACAACAACCCAGTGTAATCCCACAAGTGGGGTCTGGGGAGGGTAATATG